CAAGACAACCAGTATGTCTGAAGAAACCTACAATTTGTCATAGTACTGTGAGTGTGTGAGAAAAGAGGGCTTAGGAATTTGGAGAAGAAAATGCATTCTATGTGACTGGCATTTCTACAAACACATGGTGGGCATGGATTGGCATATCTTACTTGTCTGCAAGCACCACATCAAGCTATGGAGACATGGAGTAAACAACGGAAAGACATGCACAGAGGACGCCGCTGGTGCAGGCGCAATGGCTGTGAGGATCTCACCTGGTGCCAATGCAGTTTCTAGTGCTGGTAAAGCATAACCCTAGGAAGCAAAACACAAAGCCTCCAAGTTGGGGTAGCGGTGAGGATCTCACGTGGTGCTGTACCAGTGCACTTGATCACGGGAAATGTATACCAACAACATCCTCCCAATTATTTTGCTATATTCTTCATCTGTACAGTAAATTATAAATAGATTCGGTCGGAAAATCAAATCAAAGGGTGTGACAAAATGAATCAAATACTTTACAGTAACAATAAAGAGAAATATATATCGCCGAGGATTGTTTATAGGCATTGTTTGTTAGCGGTGGTAAAAACAGATCATTTGCTTTGCTGGTCCAGTTTACGATTGGATGATTTACAGAAGCATTAGATAGTACTATAGTACTGATAGGGATAAAGCTCTAAGAAAAATGGCATAAAGCAACAATACTGATGAAACAAGCGTCTCACGCTGATGCTACGGAAGAGAGTTTGTTTATAAAATACAAGTTACAAATAGTCATGGTCATGAAACTGTTTGCTAGTGTTTATGCAAATGGTCATTTCTTTCATTACACTTTGAATAGATGATTACTAACAGCACCATTATATTGCTAAATTGGATTATTGCTAACAGTATCATTAGGTTGCTGCGACAGTATGTTCTATGTACTGAAAAAAAAAGTTCCATGAAGCTGTGAGCCCAAATGCAGAATACAGCGACATTTTTTCAATTGGTCAGCATTTATCACCTCCCTGAAAATATCATATTGGTCAAAAAATTTGATAAAGGAAGCATAAATAAATCAAGAAAGAAATGTTCTTCATAGATCAACTTAAATCAATGGTGTGATAATATATCTGTTTTGGAACTAACCAAACTTCATAGATCAATTGATGTGACCATAGCTACTACGGATACAAACATTGCTCACATGATGGATGAACAAGAAGACATCAAGGTCAAGGCCTCCAAGTGCTGGAATCCGATTCGGCCACCTGCTGCACTGCTGAGTTCAAATGGCCGCCAAATCTCCATACGAGCTCCGTTTTCGGCCCGTGAGTACTTGATGGAAAGCTCTCGGTGCCCTCTTTCCAACGGATCCAGCCTCATTCTGAAATTCCATCTTATTGAGCCGCAATTGAAGCAACAAGGTGCTGCGTCACCTGTCATGGGCCTTTGTGCTTGTAACTTCGTTTGGGACCCCGGCCCCAAGTGGGGCCCATGTGGGGTGCGCCCCAAGCTGGTGGAGCACGACCCTAGGACCCTCTTGGTCGTTCTCCCACATCCTAAAATAGCTAGGTACCCCTTCAGGGTTTCTTGGGTTTTGTTTAGATGAAAGTTTAGCCATTGCTACTTCCTTGCAGCGCGCGTGTCGGCTAGACCGCCCGTCTGCTTGTATTTGAAACCCCAACTTATCGTGTGTATTCATTCCTATTTGCTATTCAGATTGCTTTTATCTTGTTCTTGCTTGTTTCTTCGATTTGCTTGCAGGAATAAGGTTGATCTGCACCAGCAAGATCAACAACCCACGGAGAGGTGTATCGATCGCAAAGGCGCAACACAACGTCTTGTACGGTTGTAGTCGGGTCGTCAACGTTTCTCCCAAATCGTAGTTATCATCAACTCACCGAAAGATCGGGCCAACAACAGCCTTGAGTGCCGAGTGGAACTCAGGGTTCATCAGGTGGTATCAGAGCTTTCGTTGCTCGGTGAGTTTTTATCTACCTATAACCAGAAAAAATTGCCATACAAAAAAAAATTGTATCATTTCCCTAGCCATATTGTGCCATTGCATTGTTCTTTTCAGCTTTTGCTTTGTTGAGTTTGTGTTGCATCGTCTAGTCGTGTTGCTGGTCTTAGTGTCTAGTTCGTGTAGAGTTTCGAGTTCTGGTCACGTTTTGTGCCACTGTCGTCGCCGCCGCCGTGTGTTAGTTGTTGTCGGGATCTACAAAAACGGAATCGGCTCACTGCCACGGTTCTAATTTTGTAGTTTTCAGAAGTTTTTATCGGTCAGTTTTGGAGTTGCATCTAGCTTTTGCTTGAGTTTTTGGTTTGCCCGTGAATAGATCGGTCGTGCTTGTTGCCGGCGCTGAGAGGAGGGAGAAGAATTTCCAAATTTGTTTTTGGAAGTTTGAGAGTTTAATCTGAAAAGAAATAGTAGATCAGATTGATTGTAGATCAGTTTCCCTTTTTCTCTCACCAAATCCGGACTCCTAGTAGTGCCGTATCCATCCACCCGTCGCCCACTACCACCGTGAGGAGTCTGATTCCCTCCCTCTTCTCTCGGTTTAGATCCATACCGTGTCTTCCCATATAGCTTGGTGAAAATTTTTGAAGTGTCGAATTGGAGATCCGTTTGCAAAAACGGAACCTTCGGGACGAGTACATTCCATTTTTGTATAATTTTAATTTTGAGTTTGCACTTTTACATTTGTGTCCCTGTAATTTTTATATTTACATCTGAGTCCCTGTAACCTTACATTGAGGTCCTTGAGTATGTTTTTAGTAAAAAAATAAAAAGAAAGAAAGAAAAAAAAGGCAGAAAGGTGCATAAAAACAAGAAAAGAAAAGGCCGCACAAAAAAAAGAAAAGAAAAGGAAAGGAAAGAAAAAGAAAAGAAGAATGAAGAATGAAAGAAAAGAGTTGTTATGTTTGAGCTGAACTTCATATATTAGAGTTGTGCATGAGTTGTTCCTAGTGCTATCTTGTGGTATCGTTTGTGTCTAGGCTCGTGTCTCTAGTACGTTCTAGCCTAGGACCAGCACGGTACTTGACTCTGAACGATCATTCAACTTTGCATTCTCTGATTTAAGCATTTGCTATTCCTTTGCTACATATTTAAGCCTACCCAGAGCTCCACAGATTTGATTGCAGCCGTACAGCAAGTGTTTGCCAAGGCATCGATACATCCAACCTCCATTGGGGTGCTTGGTTGAGTCGGTGTATGTCACCATTCCGCTTGCATTGGTAAGATCTTGTAAGAGCTTGGTTAAAAGCTTGAGTGTGTGTGATATTTGAGCTGCCACTACCTAGTAGTTAATAGGAACGCGCATATTTTTTGTGTATGTTTCTTGTTTTCTACTAACGATGGCAGGGATACGCAAGATAATTGGGGATAACGGTGCTCAACATCGACATCTTCGTCGAGACATGAGGAGTGATCAACATACCATTATGAGGTAAGTGACAATTTTCTAGGTAAGATCAAATCTGCACTGCCTTATTTCGAGGGAAACTATGATCCTCATGCTTACATTAATTGGGAGCTAGCGGTTGATAGTGAATTTCAAAAGCATGTCTTGTCTGAGAAACAAAAGGTTATGTGTGCCTCTAGTGTTTTAATTAAACATGCTTCTAATGATTGGAAACATCTTTGTAGGCATAAAAAAATACCACAATCTTGGAAAGACCTGAAACGATATTTCAGAGATGTTTATGTTCCTATGTATTATGCTGACATTTTGTTCAACAAACTGCAATGTTTAAAACAAGATACCAGAACTGTTACTTCGTATTATCATATATGCATGCTTGTTTATTACGTTGTGGTTTAGATGAGTGCGAAGAAGCTACAGAGTTGAGGTTTTTACGTGGGCTTAATAAAGAAATTCAGGCAATGCTTGTTTGTCAAAGTTATAGCTCTTTTGCTCATTTGTTACAGCTTGCTTGCCATGCGGAAAAACAAATTGAGGATGTGAACAAGAAACAAGTTGTGGACGTACCTCCTATTACTAATATTTTGCAGGAAGTGAACAACTGCAACAAGGAGGAGAGAGACATGAAAGAGCCGTCAGTCCCATTGTTCACATTCAAAGTCGAGGCACCTCCATCATCTGAAGAGGGCATCAAAGGTAAACTTAATGGTGCTGAAATTAATCAAGGTGAGTGTGTTGTTAATGAATTGAATTTGTCCACTTTTCATGCTATACTAGAGCAACCATTAGTGGAACCAACTGCTGAGATTCCATTGTCACAAGTTGATTTGTTTGCTGTTCCTTGTGATAAAGAAGAGTTGTGTGATAATGCTTCACTTATATCAATGCCACAACTAGTGAATGAACATGCTATTTCTAGTGTTTCATTGTGTGCTGATTTTAAGCATGTTGTTCACATTGCTAATGATATTGAGGAACGTAAATTGATAACTTCTTTCAATACTTTGGGCTATGTTCAGTTTGATGATTTTTGTGAGCTCAATAATTTGGAGGAGAAATTATTTGCTAAGTCTGATTTGCCATGTCCAACTAATGCTATTTTTTATATCTTTGGCGAATATAATGATAGAGGAATATATTTGGTGCATAGAGTTTTCATTTGTTCGGATTTGGAGAAACATATTATTGCTAATCACACTACTTCGAGTTTCTCTAGTTTTGATTGGATGAAACAGGTTATTTTGAATGGACTATGTGAAGAGCACCATATGAAAAAACCGAGGACGGTTTTCCGTGAAGAAGGGGAGGATGATGTGACCATAGCTACTACGGATACAAACATTGCTCACATCATGGATGAACAAGAAGACATCAAGATCAAGGCCTCCAAATGCTGGAATCCGATTCGGCCACCTGCTGCACTGCTGAGTTCAAACGGCCACCAAATCTCCATACGAGCTCCGTTTTCGGCCCGTGAGTACTTGATGGAAAGCTCTCGGAGTCCTTCCAACGGATCCAGCCTCATTTCGAAATTCCATCTTATTGAGCCGCAATTGAAGCAACAAGGTGCTGCGTCACCTGTCATGGGCCTTTGTGCTTGTAACTTTGTTTGGGACCCCGGCCCCAAGTGGGGCCCATGTGGGGTGCGCCCCAAGCTGGTGGAGCACGACCCTAGGACCCTCTTGGTCGTTCTCCCACATTCTTAAATAGCTAGGTACCCCTTCAGGGTTTCTCGGGTTTTGTTTAGATGAAAGTTTAGCCATTGCTACTTCCTTGCAGCACGCATGTCGGCTAGACCATCCACCTGCTTGTATTCGAAACTCCAACTTATCGTGTGTATTCATTCCTATTTGCAATTCAGATTGCTTTTATCTTGTTCTTGCTTGTTTCTTCGATTTGCTTGTAGGAATAAGGTTGATCTGCACCGGCAAGATCAACAACCCACGGAGAGGTGTATCGATCGCAAAGGCGCAACACAACGTCTTATACGGTTGTAGTCGAGTCGTCAACGTTTCTTCCAAATCGTAGTTATCATGAACTCACCGAAAGATCGGGCCAACAACAGCCTTGAGTGCCGAGTGGAACTCAAGGTTCATCATCAATTTATCAAGAGACATTCTTCCTAGTGATCACATATGGTGATGATGGAGTGTTGTTTGTAGCACATACATTTCAATTATAGTCATCTTTTCACCTCTCCATGCATGTACCAATAAAACAAGGACCATTTCAAAAATTAAATACGGCATTCATTAGCAGCATAACAAACTAAACCACATCCCCAATTGATTACATGGCATAACACAGGTGAAGGTAGAAAAACAAAATATATACAGTGATTTTTGGTTTTTCTCAGTTTTTTTTGTGAATTTGGTCAAAATTTATTCAAAATCAGTCAACTTGTGTTAAAATTTTAAATAATTTCGGTCCAAAAAGTGTCAAAAGTTCCAAAATTTTGGGAATTTCGGTGCTACTGAAATGGCCGAAATTTTGAGCAAAATCGAAAGCGAAAACCCAGCCCTGGTTGTAGCTCTTAGATCTCATAAGAGTGTGAAGGTGAGAAAAAACAAAATAGGTAAACAGAACGGACTGAAATCACTGGAGTTTAGATGGGTATAAAGTTGGTACCTTGTTGTAGTTTTCAGATCTCAGCGCTGGTGTTCTACTACAGAAAAGAACCAAACTGAATTTCGTCAGACATCAGGGTAAGAAATTAAGCACCGGGTGGCACTAATAAAGAAAATGAATTCACGGCCTGCAGAAGAGGGCTAACTATCTGTACTAACTCTTACTATTATGCCTTGATTTGACAACCTTGATTAATTTTACTACTATATTACAAATGAAAATGTTTCTAAGGGAACACCCAGAAATATCTTAGCAGGTATTCTGATATGAGACTTCTTGAGAGAACATTTTACTTATAAAGAGAAACATGTCCCAATTTAGGACACTTGAAATTACTTCTGTTGTTGGCATTTTCAAGGAAAATTTTATAGGCATAATGTATGCAGAATAGATAAAATCCGCATAATATTAAGCTGGATTTGAGGAATGCCATAAAAACGACTGCATCTCCGTATGCCCTGACAAAAGGAAAATAAAAACATTGTTGCTCCATTTATGAAAATCCCCCATCTATTCACAAAAATTGCATGAAAAATTTGACCACAAGAAATGGAGCTTACCTGCACCTTGATCTGCATGGCATACTCCTTATTTGCACCAAGCAATCAAACCTGGCAAACCTGGGTTGGAGGGGACTGTTGCCTCATGTGCGAGCTGGTTGAATCATGGACGACCTGCTGAAGAGACAGGACATCCGATGGAGATCACTGCCAACACAAACTTCAGTTCATTAAGCCCTTCCATAAGCACAGAAGATATCATTCAAAAGGATAGAATAACATACAAACTGGAAGCGATGTAGCAGCCTCAATGGATGATCATTTGTCCAAAAACCAGGCTTAAATCACTTCAGAGTTACAATACCAAAAATGCGAAGGTTAAGTAGAATACATCAAGTACATTGAATTGTTAATTTGGAAGCAGCAAACAATCAACCTGAGATTTGGCCACCAGAAATAAGCTAAGGAAAATAATGTATATTCACTTAGAACGCAAACCTTGATGATTAATGTGAAAAGTGCCAATCTATAAAATATAATCAAGACTGATACATCACAGATTCATGGTCATTATATACAAAATTTTAGGTCTGTTAGTAGCAGACAGATCTTTAGTGCAAAACTCTTTCCGCTTTTCACGCACACGCTCCACGGCTAATTACCATTTCTTACTAATAAGCATTGATTTTACAACTGATTAATCTACTTCTAGAATCAGAATGGCACAAGTATTTTAATTAATAAAAGGACATCATGAACTTAAGGTTCTGAACTTTTGATCATTACATACTTCACAATGTATGAAGGATATTTTTTGCTGAAAAAATACGAAGGATATTTCAACAATAAGAATGATCTTTCTTTCAAAGAAAAACTCACTACATTAGAAGTACTTTTCATTTCAGAGACGGTGTCAAGCTTTATCTTAATCTTTCATCACAAAGAAAACAAAAATTATTTGTGAATACCATGCTCGAATAAGGCCAACAATAGAGATGCAGCCAAAACTATCAGTAGCTCACATTGGTAGAAGGTACTATCAGAATTATGAACCATAATGGGAAAAGGAAGAATAGCAGTTAAAATTTCCCCTGAGATCTCATGGCTTCACTGCGTGGTTCTGGTTCCGCTGCAGATTGATCTTATATGAATCGTATGATGAAGTACCACATGAGTGGAAATATAGGAAAGGAATCCAAATATGCCGAATCGCTCATGTTATGACCTAAGTAGTAGTAGAAGGCTTAGTATCTGACTTGATCCAATAGAGTCAGAACACGCTTCCCCTTTCATGCTCCAACGCTGATGCAAGTATGAAGGTTAATAACATTTCTCTAACTCAAATCATAACTTCATTTAAGCCAATGCAACATATAAGCAATTGAAGCATATTACATCTTTTCAATCAAAAACAGTTATAGGAATTCAGCAATTTGCTATCTCTTCACTGAGGAACGAAAACATTACTTGCTCATTTAAAAGCAGAATAGTTATTCAAAAGGCATCATAGCAAAAGCAAAAGCTAACCCACTATTTGATAGCATTCTTCAACAACTACTGTTAACAATTGTGTTAGTTTATGTAGATTGATTATTGCTTTTGCTATACAGATATATTAGGCTACAAAATGTACTAATAACCACTAATTAGAAAAAAAATGTTGGTACCTGTTATTGGTTTGAAAAAAATATTGGTAGGGGATTACAGTTTTCACATTGTACAAACATGCAAAGGAATACAAAAAATAACGATGCTTGTGTTTTTTATCAGCAGAAGAAAATAGTCTGACAAAATATCTTAAGCAAAATTATGTTAACCGTAAAGAGGAAAGTGTGAATCATTGACAACTTTCCTAATAGACCAGGCATTGGAAAACAATAAGATGCAAGTAGGTGATTATGGGATCCCAAGATTAAATGTCCTTTCAAGGGTTAAGTGGCTGAATAATTCATTTCTTACAATTGAACCCAGTGAAAAGGACAAGCTAGCAAGACAGAGAAGGAACATAGCTTCTGAGAAGTAATTTAATGGAAATAAGCAACACAAACAATAGCGAAGTTTTATTGACTATTTTTGCAGTAACAAAAAATTTTCAAACCAGGAACCTTGTGCCACTATTATCTGCAGCAAAGAACTGAAATCTGAAGGTATAGTACAACATGTAAACTTAGCTCAATCTATCTCCCTTTATACACACTAAAAGTGTTGTTTTTGCATTTTAGATTAAAAATGGCATGCCATTTTATTTCTTCAAACCACACTGATTACTTTCCTATGTGGCAAACAAATCATACTTACCTTAGCAGGGTGATTGGAGATATGACATTGGTACGCATCTAAGCAAGAGCACCTTTTGTGACAATCAAGAAAAAGCTTCCACATCTAAGAGATTTTCATGCCATATCTTAGTGATTACAGGGAGCTATTGCTCTTTTATGTTTGGTATATAATGTTAGAGATAACAGCGCTTGGATGCCTAAGATTTCAATTGGATCTAATCCATAGGAATTATCATGGTTGTCAACAAAGGTAGTTAAATAGGCCATATATGCAAGTCGCTTAACCGAATTATCCAACTACTATAATTATAGATAAGTTACAACAAAAACCATAGGGTTCAAATCCTCCGTATTTCCTATATTCCAGAGGAGATAGGAAATGAAAACTCTACTTTAATCAAAATGAATTTGCCTACCAATAGAATTGACATGAACTCATAGTATGTATAATTGAAATGGTTGGATAGTCTTACATCGATACTTAAAGAAAAAATGTACTAAGTCTATTCCTCTATAAAACTAAACTAATGTAGGCATAATTCTCAATAGAGAATGCATAGGTAGATTGCATGTTCATCTGCTCCTGAAACCGTTGAAAATTACTTTCACTACTTACATGTACTATGAAAGGCAGATTATTATTTATGCAAGATATATGAGTTTTAAAACAAATCTAGCGTATTACTCAATGAATTTTATCCATCCAAGAGTTTTATCCTTGACGACACAAGATTAGAATTTCCTTAATAACAACAAGAACATGTGAGTAGATTGAACAATATAATGCTAGGCTGCTAGCAAGGGAGCCAGTCTAATGCCTTTATTTTTACACAAACCTAATATTTACTTTATGTCTGAAAAGATTATTATAGCAAAACAATAATACAAATCCATCACCCAATAGGTTTTATATATGCAAAACTATGTTTTACACGTTTTAAAAAAAGGGACAAAAATTTAGATTCAGCACAATCCTAAATTTATTATAACACATGTTTTCACAACTGAACTTATCACACTTTTAAAAATGTGAGCCTAGTTCAGAATTTAGAACCTCAAGCTGCAGTTAGAAATATAGAGAAAATGTTTAGACTAAAAAGTGCTACATAATATTAAGTATGCCATGTACAGATGTACTCCAGCATATAAGTACATAGTTTCTTTCAGATTGCAATGGCCACATATATACATCATTCATCATCTTTAAAATGTGGAGGCATAGATCTAATTGATCATGCATTGGTCATTGGTTATATCCAAGTACATGAGCGTTGCAACACAAATCACACAAATACATGCATGATAGCAACTTTTAAAATGGTACAAATCATTTTATACCTTGCATGATAATAAATTTATTACACACTTTTTTCATGCAATCTATAAACTTAAATTGAGGGAATACATGTGATTGTATAATAACACCCCCTACATATGGAAATTTCTTAAGATATTTTATCTAAATTTCAAAGTAAACCACGTACGTGCAGGAACACGGCAGTCTAGTCATCATCTAGCCAAAGAGATTAAATGAATGGGAGCAATGAACATGTATGGCATTCTTAGAAGCTATCGCAGCAACATCTGCTAGGCATGAATTTAGCATCTTTTTTCTACCCACAAGGTGTACCAGTCTTTAAAGGAATATGCTAGAAATTGCTATCTAATATGCAAGGGCTGAGTTTATCATGCATATATTGAAGTACCTTTTCCCTTAGTAACAGAAGCTGGTGGTGCTAATTGCAGGTGGGACAACAACAATGACCAGGCAATGAAGGCATCATCCTAGTGAGAGAAAACAAACCTGCTGAAAGGTGAGTCTGAAGACTTTCAGAAGTAGGCATCTCAATTAAGGATGAGAGTTGTTCCCTTTGAACTTCTCTGAATCTGGCATCAATTCAATACCTTGGCCCATGTCAGATTAATTCCTGAGTCAGTGTTCTATTTCATTGACATAGTATAAATATAGATAAGTTCAACAACAGCAAAATTATATATAAATGTCTACTCAACCCCCTGAATATAGTGGTTCATCTACTTAACAATCTGAAAAATTAACTTTAGTGTATCCAATAAATATTGAAAAAAAATGTGCAAAAAAAATACATAAACCAATTTCAGTACTGTGGCGAATGAAGTGGGTAGCATGTGGCAATGATAGAGCAGATGAAATAGTCTTAAATCCTGATGGTGTAATTGTCTCTCCTATAATAAGAGACCATATTAAGGCAGAAGTTAATAGGAGGAATGAAAAAAGGAGCAGCGATAAGAAAGAGGACCAGTCAATCTAATCACATGGTCATTTTGCAAATACTAGACATCTAGCGAAGAAATTAAAGAAATAGAAAGCAGGGATCAGATGTGTCACTGAAGTAATGAAAATAAAGTTTTGACTCTTTTCACGCAGTATATATACAAGTGTTATTGCAAAACAAACAAGCACCTTAACTAGAGGTAAACAGAAGGAACGAGTTCAGCACTTGAGCTTACCAAAGACTTGATAAGCATAGATTGTTCACTCTGTAGATGTTAAATCTAATCTAGGTTTAATATTGTGAGCTACTTGCAAGGATCCCCCAGACGCAAAACCCTCCAAAACCTACAAAAGAAACAACCAGATTAGCTACAGATATTAACCTTATCATCTAGCCACATAAAATCGACTTAGTCTGTTTTTGGATTCAAAATAGCTGGTTGAAAAAATAAAAAAAGATCTGACTTGATTGTTGCTCCTATCCAAAAACAATTAAGTTGGGTGATCATTATCTATAAATAATACTGAAATTATTTATAACGAAATTAGGAGGTCCAATACTACTTAGAAGTCTCAAAGATGATTTATTTCATAGCACTATACTTGCAGCAAATAATACCATAATATCATGTGTGTAAGCCATCATATGATCAAGATACAGTATTTAATCATTATATATATGTGCAGATCCATATGATGAAAGTATAGGTTAAATAATAAAGTATTGTGTATTTGCACAGTTGTGTACCAAGTAAATTCCCATTATCTACTAATATCACTAAAAGTTTATCAAGTAAATTCCTATCCTTAAGTGTCCCACTGTGGAGATATAGTTCTAAAAACTCGTGAACATTTCCATACTTTGGAACCAGCAAGTAAAAAAATACTGAATATACATAGCCAGCAATGAGAGCATAAAGGTCCAAAGCACTACTTAAACCTCAAAAGAACTAGAAAGAGATGATTCTACTAACTATAAGCCCACCGTGTTAATACCATAATGTGGGAAGAGTTTGGCTGCGCCAACAGACATGGCAAGACAACAAAATACTACCATGACATTGATCATGGCGTGGCAATGTTTTGCTATGATTTCAAAAGCCATCCTTCTAATCTTCTATATTTAATTTCTACAAGATGAATTACAAAAACTCTGTGCATTGACAACTTTTTGTTTTCCTTGATTCCTGAATATCACTCATTTGTTTGTTCTCTTACATGTTGCAAAAGCACTAAATCAACTGGTCACATTAGGTAACAGGTTCAGTTGTGAAATACCAATAATATCTTATTTACCTTGGTGTGGATAGCTCTCTTGCCCAAGTTTGTTCAGAACGTGGTGTATCGGATGCCTTCGTGAATACATGCGTTGTATGCAAACGACAACTAAGGTACTCGTTTCAATCTATTGAATACTTCAATTCCTTTTGAACTTAATCATGATTGTTCATGTGCCTTTACTAAATTTCATTAGAAACTTTTTGGACGCAACCAAAAAACTTGTTTTTTATATCAGTTTCTTATGCTCTGATTAAATTTAGTTCTTACAGTGCCCTATACATATGAATTTTACAACCCTTTGATAAACTGAAACAACACATACAAAAGAAAAAACAAATGGAACCTTCTACTTCAAAGGTGAGCGGAAGGACAAATCTCACTCTTCCTGTGCACTGACAAGCCCAAAGGACTGGCATCGGAACTGTGCAAAAACAAACAACACAAGTAATATGCATGTGCTAATGCAACGGCGATATTTAGTAATTCAAATAGCCGAAAGTTGATACTGTTTTCAGTCACAAAAGTTGATATTGTTTTAGTTATTAAGCATAGAATAAGATATATTTAAGATTCACTAATCAAAGAAAGAGAGATTTATATTGTTTTGGTAATAAATGTTATTATAGTGTTAATATCATCCTAAAGTAGGTCATGAATGGAGTTTTGCAGTATTTTCATCACTATGACTGAAACATTTTAACAGACAAACAACAATAGCTGTTGGTTTCTAACTTTATATAGCACCAATAGATACAAATATCAGCAGAAAGATTCTACAGGTGTTATTTTTTCAATAAATCTAGCAGCCTGGAAACATTCAGCAACTTCTGCTGCTCACTGATCACCTACCTCTTTGTAGAGCACCCCAAGATTAAACGGTCCACATAAACTGTCCTATCGAACGCATAATTCAAGCACCGTATCGAAGGCAATGACATGTTGTCAAATTCTTGAAGAACAATAGCACTTCATATCAAACTCGAAACATGTTTATGTAAAAGCTTCTTCAGACTTACCTTTCGCTACATATAGTTTTCCTACAAATAGAATATGTTTTTTTTGTAGAAATTTAATGGTGTAAGAAACAGTTAAAAATTTGATCTTCATAGCACCCATAAAAAATGTCACACTCTTCATAAGAAATAAACAATAGTCATATATACCATGCCAGCCAGTCCAAAGCAGAATATGGACGTATGGCTCTTATGTTGGATACACGAACCTATGCATAGGTGCATAAGTACAAGAGAGCTAAATCATACCATGTCTCTCATTCCAGGATTTTATCATCCTTAGAGCCCAGTAAAAGGTAAATATCAGAGACATGGTGCCTTCTATTTCTCCTAAGCTGCATAAAAGCAAACGAGAAAATGCTTATGAGCTATAAAAGAACAGTGATCTTTTCCAACAGCTATATACTTCCCTGAAAATAAGTGGCAAGAAATAGACATTATTAGTCCATCAGAACATGGAATACCTTCTTATCATAGACATCTAGACTCAGGTGTAAAATAACCTGTTGTTTAAGAGAAAAATAGACTGGAGCTTGTGATTAAAATTCAAGAATGGTTGTGGTTAATATTTGCACTATTGAAAGAAATGTATGTACAGAGCTGATGAGATCAATCACACGATCTCAAACCAATCCCAGGTGTTGTACCTGAAACAAGGTTTAGGTTTTTAAAATTTCGGACACTCTGCAGCAACTGATAGAATTAAAAGCTAATAAAAATCTGAATCCATGCACAATACAACTACAATAGATAGGCATACTTATATTATCAACCAGTGTGTAAGAGCATTTTATAAATCATAAAATCAAACAGATTTACCAATAACTCTTTTTAGCAAACAAAATAATGTTACAGACCAATAACACACATGAATATACTGGAGGACATCTACATTTTTGGCTGATGGGACTTTTGGGCTAGAAAATGTAGCTGTTACTATTAATGGTGCCATCCCATTAATGTTTATAACTAAAGGTTCTCAATCTTGCAGAAATTATATAAGACTGGTACAACCATGTTCACATGTAACCGCTGCAAGGACCTCATCAGTCTAATGGATCTTGGTTGTCTCCCATCTTCCCCCTTCTTCTCTTTCCATCTTTCCCCCTATTCTCTTTCCATCTTTCCCATGTTTCCAATCTCTGCCCGTCCTATTCTCTACTCTCTTTCCATCTTTCACCCTTCCCTCTCCCTAAATTGGCACACCCCTATTCTCTATTCTCTTTCCATCTTTCACCCTTTCCTCTCCCTAAATCGTCGCACATGCGATTTCCATCCTATCCTCATGCGATTTCCTTCCCAGCATGCGTTCCCTACAGCGCATGCGCCCTTGACCCCCCTCCCCACCTTGCCCGTATCTACCTGATTTCACGAGATATTAGGATCCAAGACGTGTAGAAGGGTAAGCGGTGGGGACGCTCTGCCCCCTGATGGTGCTCAGACGCCTAGGCGTCTCCTAGGCGACGCTTTTAAACCATGATTATCTTAACTAATGAAATGATTTAACCAAGAGTTGAATAAATGAGCATACCTGCCAATCAAGGAACCTGCAATTGTAGAATGCACTTCTACCTGTTGTTACTCAAACTGCATCTATCTGCCCATACCCCTGCACCACAATTGGTAGATGAGCTTTGTGCGCTCTTGCACAGGCATCTCTCTATGGAACACGAACAAGTTTTGGTAAAAAAAAAGGAACAAGTAAAAATTAAGCACCTAGGGAGATGAGTTGTCAAACGTGACATTCTCTGCAATGAAATCTTTCTCCTCCACAATAATTGTTCCACAACCGAATGTTCCTGTCCCCCAATAATCCTGGATGACTTTACAAGAGAAAAGGGCATGATAACTAAATTAAAAAGATAATATAACTATTCAAATTGCACAAAAGGAGCACTTAGCATTTGACATAAACTGCAATCAAAATTAGGGGGGCAGTTATGGTCTTGTCAACTGAAATGTGAAATACTGAAATGTTCTTTCTAACAAGCTCAAATGTGAAGTGCCTTCACTGCTTTGGGGGGTAAAGTTAGACTTGAAATTAATTACATTGATTAAATTTACCTAAATTTTAGCAGAGGTCAAATCAAAATGACTTGAAAATAATTGGTCTGCATGTGTAACCAGCAACCAACTAAGCATGACAACTACGAGTATAGTGCCACTCCTGTTGCACATGCATCAAATTAGTAATCAGATAGCAAAATAACTAACACAATTGCAGAAACTGCAGGACAATATCTAACCCACATGCTCTGGAATCTCTAGCCTCCAAGATTTCACAATTTTATTACAGAATATATAAAACTATATTACCACTCGATCGATCAATAGGACAATGATGGGAACACGGTTCGAACTTGATTAGTACAGTATGGCCACACCATATATATTAGCTTGAGTATATCTCAAAATCAGTAGTTCAACCACTATGTATTTTTTTTATAAAGCATTTGAAGCTGTCCCTAATAACAGCAGGGATTAATCTGAATTGGAAGTATACTCTTCTTCTAAAAGAAGGCAGAGGTGGTAGGAGTAATTCTTTTGCAATGCATCTATATCATCGGATAATCAATACCCATGCATCTTCAAGTGCCACTGTTAGTTTTAGTTGTAATTTCATATCATGTTAGACACTTGTAGAATAATAGGCATTTATATGTCACCTAGAGAATTATCTTTTCTTGTAAAAGCAAAATAATGTTAATTCAGGTCAAGGAATCATGGAGACAATAAAATCAAACACTCACCAAGCAATCGGTTAATAAGTAGACTAAAGGACGATAGAAGTGAAAAAAAAAAAAACAAACTTTAAAGATTCCTGGGTCTCCACATGATTACGCACCTCTTCTGCTATTGTTCAATTAAATTTCCCCTGAATAACAATTTCAGAGTGCAGAAAAAAGGAAGGTGAAAAATCTGTGATTAAAGTAATATTTGCACATCTAGTGATACAAGTAATACAATATTTATGGATTGGGGAAATAACCTCAGGACTGAACTGTGATGCAAAACTCAATTTCAGTGTTACTTTCAGAACTCAAATATAATATTCACACTTGTGCTGATCTTTCCTTTGCTGTATAAAAGAGTAGCAGAAAATAAGATACCGTTGTACCAATATTATTTTGACAGTGTGGTTCATAGCCTTGGTGAAGAAATATTATTTTAAAGGATATGCAGAGATAAGGTTTTGGAAGGTAGTAACCTCTGCATCTCAAGGCTAACGTAGAAATGAAGCACATCAGTAGAACTGATTCAGTATTGGAGGAAAATGATCATATTTAATCATCTCATCGCAGGAGTTCATTTTGTTCGCAAACCTCTGCATCTCAGGCTAAAATGGAAATGAAGCACATGAATTGAACTTTAGATTCAGTATTGGAAGGGGGTATTTAGCCATCTTCTGACAGGAGTTTATTTATTTCGGCGGTATGGGATATTCGAAAGTTTACTGTTTCAACAATTAAACATGTAATAAGATGGCTATATGATTCACACAAAAACAATGAACTAATGTACGCTATGGCACTGTGCAGAATCTGCAAGCACAACAGGGAAGGAGAAAAATGCACAAACATGGCACTGCACCAATAAGTTTGCAGTATCTTACCTGTTCCTCCGTCGTCACTGTCTAGATCGCGGTCGACTCAGGGCGGTATCGAGGGACAGAAGCAGTGAGGGTAGCGTCGAGGATGTCAGGGAGGTGGCATGGACGGCGTCAGAGGCCAAAGGCCGGGGTGGCGGCATGGACGGGGCTGGGCCGCTGGGGCTGCTTGTTTCGGGGATACGAGTACGACAACTTTGATGATTCAGGGGAGATGACGCCCTTGATGACGAAGGATAGATGGTGGCGGATCAGGAACGGACAGGGCACGAAAGTGGATTTCCAGGGGCAGCAGTGACAGAGGATCGATGGCGGCGCTTGTGGTGGGCGTGGGGGCACAGGCCGGAGGGAAGGGAGGAAGCTCATGGGGGAGGACGGCGAGGGCGGCGTCGAGGGACGGAGGCAGCGTGACGATGGAGGTATTGGCGACAGACGGACGGCACTGCAAGGAGTCGCAGTGGTCGACTCGAGTGTTAGAATTTCAATGGTTACTCTCATTGAGAGGAGGATGGCACTCGAGATGGGGCAATTTTCTGGTTTTCTTCATTCACAAAACACAAAAGCCATACCTTCCCGAGGGAGGTTGGATACATATATATAGCCATAGCTGGCTGGATGGCTGCTAGCTAATTGCTGCCCACACTAGTCTAAAATTTGGACGCAATGCTGTCCTAGAGAGCATCCAAACTGAATAAAGCATAAAGGAGATGCTAGATGCTGTCCTAGGGATGCTAAAAGCAAAACCGAAAGATGCTAAAAGCAAAACTGAAAGGATGCTGTCCTAAAAGGGGGAAAAACAACCTAAAAGCAAGAGAAGGACCACAAGGACCAAAGACCACAAGGCTTATTCCATCATCGAGCAGCACACTAGTCTAAAATTTGGACGCAATGCTGTCCTAGAGAGCATCCAAACTAAATAAAGCATAAAGGAGATGCTAGATGCTGTCCTAGGGATGCTAAAAGCAAAACCGAAAGATGCTAAAAGCAAAACTGAAAGGATGCTGTCCACCCTGAGCTCTACTGCTCCAGTGTCTCTGCCGAGGAGATCACCAAGCAGTCGAGCAAGCCAGAGCGCCTGGGTCGAAGCGGCGGATGCCGCCATGTACTCGGCCTCGCAGCTGGACAGGGCCACCACCTGCTGCTTGACCGACTGCCAGCTAACGAGGCACTCGCCGAGGAAGAAAAGAATCCCGCTCGTGCTCTTGCTGGTGTCGATGTCGCCGGCGTGGTCGCTGTCGCTGTACCCGACGAAGTGTGCCTTGCCAGGACACCTCGGGTAGTAGAGACCGTGGTCGAGAGTCCCCGCAACGTAGCGGATGATCCTCTTCATAGCCTGCTGGTGCTCCGTCGTCGGTCGCTGCATGAACCGACTGACGTAGCCGACGGAGAAGGCCAAGTCCGGCCGTGTGTGGGTGAGGTAGCGAAGGCTCCCCACAAGACGTCGGTACTGTGTAGCATCCACCTCCTCCGTCGTGCTGTCGCGGCTCAGCTTCAGTCTCTCCTCCATCGGAGTGAGAGCTGGGTTGCAATCGGTGAGCCCAGCTAGCTCAACGACGCGCTTGGCGTAGGCGGTCTGTCAAAGCGTGATCCCGGAGTTGTCTTGGTGCACTTCGATCCCCAGGTAGAAGGAGAGAGGCCCCAGATCACTCATCTGGAAGGTGGCCTTCATCTCCTCCTTGAACGCCGCGACCTCCGCATCCTTGGTGCCGGTGATCACCAAGTCGTCGACGTAGACACCCACCAGCAAGGCATTTCCTCCATTGCCCCGCCGGTAGATGGCCGCCTCGTGCGGGCTTTGCTCGAAGCCCATCCCCTTGAGCGTGGAATCCAACTTGGCATTCCACGCCCTCGGTGCCTGCCGCAAGCCGTAGAGGGCCTTGTGCAGGCGTAGCACCTTGCCCTCCTTGCCGGGGATCACAAATCCCGGCGGCTGGTGCACGTAGACCTCCTCCTTCAAGTCGCTGTTTAGAAACGCCGACTTGACGTCCATGTGATGGATGCCCCGGCCTTCCTGAGCAGCCAGCGCAAGAAGGAGTCGCACGGACTCCATCCGTGCCACGGGAGCGAAGGCATCGTCGTAGTCGATCCCCTCCTGCTGCACGAAACCGCGTGCCACCAAGCGAGCCTTGTGCTTGACGATGGCTCCGGCTTCATCCCTCTTCAGCTTGAACACCCACTTAAGGGTGACTGCGCGGTGACCACGAGGGAGGTCAGCAAGCTCCCAGGTGCGGTTCTCCTGAACCGCGTCCATCTCCGACTGCATCGCGGCACGCCATGCCGCGTGTTTCTCGGCCTCTGCAAAAAACCGAGGCTCACCGTCGTCGCACGCAAGGTGCAACTGCGCCTCTAGGTCGCGAGGCACCAGTCCCGGCACCGGCTGGTCGCCGAGAAGATCCTCCATCGTACGGTACCGTAGCTGCTCGCCGTCGTGGTACGCGTCGATGCGCTCCCCGTCGTGGGAGAGCGGAGTAGAGAACTCCACCGGGCTGCGCTCAACACGAGCTGGCGTCGGAGTAGACGTGCCCGGAGGAGTGGCTATTGGTGCTGGAGCGCGTGGGGACACCGGCTGGGGTGGTGTCGACGAAGAGCTCGTCGTAGTCGAAGTCGTGGCCCGAGGGTGTGTTGGTGTTGGAGTCGGTGGAGGCTCGGGGACTGGGGTAGACACGCTCGGTGAAGAAGAGCTGCCTACTCCCCCAGCTCCCTCGAAGTGGACGTACTCGATGGTGAAGTCGTCGTACGTCGGAGTCGAACCATCATCCACCGCCTTGTCCCATACCCACCCTCGCCCTTCGTCGAACACTACATCGCGCACTGTGCGCACACGCTGTGTCTCCGGGTCGAGGATGCGGTAGGCCTTCGAGCCCTCCGCGTAGCCGATGAACACCCCTGGGGTGCTCCTGTCGTCGAGCTTACCGATGTGGCCAAGCTCCTTGGCGAACGCGAGGCAGCCGAAGACCCGTACGTGGGAGACCGCCGGCTTGTGCCCATGCCAAGCCTCGTACGGTGTCCTGCCATCGAGGGCCTTGGTAGGCGAGCGATTGAGGATGTAGACGGCTGTCACCACCGCCTCCCCCCAGAAGATGGCCGGCATCCCCCTCTGCTTGAGAAGAGCCCGAGCCATCCCCACAACCGTCTGGTTGCGCCGCTCGACGACGCCGTTCTGCTGTGGGCTATACGGCGCGGTGTAGTGGCGCTGAATGCCCTCATCAGCGCAGTACGACGCGAATTCAGCCGCCGTGAATTCGCCGCCGTTGTCAGTGCGCAGCACGCGCAGCTTGCGGCCGCACTCCGCCTCTGCAGCAGCCTGCGCATGCCTGATGGCGTCCGCAGCCTCTCCCTTGCTGCCGAGGACCATCACCCACATGTAGCGGGAGAGGTCGTCGACGAGCAGCAGGAAGTAACGTCGTCCTCCTGGTGTGGCCGGTGTCACTGGGCCACACAAGTCCCCGTGCACGAGCTCGAGCCGCTCCTTGGCTCGGAAGCTCGTCTGCTGGGGAAAGGGGAGCCGCCGCTGCTTCGTCACCACGCAGACGTCGCAGAGCTGCTCCACGTGGTCAAGTGTCACACCCCGAAGTTTTCCTCCCAAGCCAAAATTGTAATTTATAAATGACCCTAAGAAAATGCAGGTGAAATCAGGAGAAAACCCTAAGAAAATAATGCAAATAATAATCGGACTTGACATGTGGAATTTTTCTTGAGTTCTACATGTCAAAATTCATTAACAGGATTTTTAGTGGAATTTTCAGAGCTCTAGAAATAATTTTAACCAATTAAAATTGAGCAAGCAATATTTTATTCCAGGGAAAATCCTTTTTCCTTTTTCTTTTTCTTTTTCCTCTCTTTTTTCCTCCTTTTTGTCAAATGGGCCGTCGGCCCATTTCTCCTTTCCTCCCTCCCCCCTCTCTGTTGGGCCGGCCGCAGGCCGAGGCCCAGCCCGGCAGCCAGGCTGCCCCGCTGCCTCCTCTCTCGGGGTCGCCGACAGGTGGGGCCCACCTGTCGGGCCCGTCTCCCTCCTCCCGCCGATCCCGGCGCGCCGCCGCGCCCGCAACCGTCGCCGCGCCCACGTCTCCGCCTCCCCCGGGCCACGTCGAACACGCCCACGCGTGCGCCGCGCTCTCCGCGCCTTTTCCCCTCTCTCTCCCGCTCGCGCCCGCGCCCGAGATGGCCGGGATTCGAAAACCGAATCCCGCCTCTCTCTCCTCCCCACTCCCCCGCGTCGGCCGGCGATTCCCGCCTCTCCCGGCCACGTCCGGCCCCCTCTCCCCCTATTTAAGCATCACCGGCGCCCCCTCTCGCTTTTTCCCCATTTCGCCGACCTCTCCCGAGCTCCCCATCGCTCCCGCGCCGTGCAACCACCCGCCGCCGCCGTTTTTGCTACTCCGGCCGCCGCTAGCCGCCGCTAGGCTCGCCGCCGTCTTGCGCCGTCGCCGCCGTTAGATTCGCGCGGCCGAGGTCCACCTCGTCCACCCCTCCTCCGTTGAGGTTCGCCGCCGGAGACCCATCCCCGCCGTGCGCCGGTGAGTGACGCCATGGCCGCCGCCTTCGGCCGGCGCCCTCGCGCTTTCGCGCCCTTCTCTCTCTCTAACCCCTCTCCTTTTGTTCGTTAGGAGGCTCCGGAGCTCGTCCCGCCGTCGCCATCGTCCTCCGTCGCCCGCCGTCGTCGACCGTTGTCGGTGAGGCCCTCCTCCTCGTTTTCTCTCTCCCGCACCGTTTAGCCGCCGCGTCGCCGCCTAGCTGCGTAGCCGCCGCTCCTCCTCTAGCCGCCGCTCTCCGCCGCCGGTCGGTCGCCGTCGGCCGTCGCCTTGCGCCGCTGCCGCATGCGCGCCGCCGCCGCGTGAGCACTGCGCCGCCGGCGCCATGGTCGCCGGTTCGGCTTGCGCCGTGCCCGCGCGCCCCGGCCGCGAGCTCCCACCGCCGTCCGATCTACCCTTGGGTAGATCGGGGCCGTCGGTCCGGCCGCCACGTGGCGCCGCCGCCCCTTCCTTCTCCCGTGCCACTGACTAGTGGGCCCGCGCGCCGCCACCCCTTTCTCTCTCTCCCGGGCCGCTGACCGGTGGGTCCCGCATGTCGGCGCCGCACCCCTCCGTGCTGACGTCAGCCCTGGTTAATATTGCGCAATAAATGATTTAAGGTTTTTCTTTTATAGTAATAAACACAGTGAATCTTCTAAAAATCATAACTAATTCATCCGAGCTCCGTTTAATCCCATTCAAGTCTCAGTAAATCAAGGAAAATGTGTAGAATCCATTAAAAATGGTTTTGTTCTCTGTTTCAGTAGTCTTATAGCCTGTTTGCAATGTTTGCTTTGTATGTCGTTAGATTCCGATCCCTCCGACGCTCCGGTGTACTTCGAGATAGTCGCCGAGGTCCCTCCAGCAGCAGAGCAAGGCAAGTCATGCTTGTCACTTGATCATATTGATCCTATATTGCAAATGTCCTAATGTTTTCTTTCAAATACCGCATTTGTTTTGCAATATCACTATGGGATGGTTACCTATTGTTACAGCCATGCTTTTTTTGACACCATGCTCCTTTGTTAGCTTGGGTTATAACCTGATTAGAGTTAGGACTAGGGTTTGCTTAGCCATGCTTAGTTCAACTAGTTCACAATGGGGAAAATCATATTAATGTTTAGACTGTTAGTTCTAATGGTAATGTTGGATTAGTGACACCGCTTTGGTGTTGGTTAATTAAAATGAATCACATGGTGGGCTGTGGGTGCATGGTTTTGCTGGTCGCACCCATGGCAGTTAAGGACCGGTTCGCGGGATGCCCTGGAAGAACTTATCGTACTTACCACAAGCCAGCGTGGGCAACGGCTGGGCTTGTAGTGTAGCTTTCCTCTAGTCGACGCATCCAGGCAAGGGTGGGCGT